GCTACCTTTAGATCAAAATTACGAATAAATAACGCAGTATGAACTTATCAATATATCTTGAAGTGTTGCAATTGTATACTTGGGTTCAATTTAGGATTTACTTTTATTAATTATTGGATCCCAAGCAGATGGTACAGCCTAGCCATCTTCTCTATTGAAATTAGGCTGTTTTTTTAATTTCAATAGCCTCGCGATACATCCTTGGAAGGATTCGGTGTTCTTTAACGAGGATTTGTGGTCTATCAAATCTGGCATAGGGACGAGGGCGATCTTGTACGTGTTCACAGCTGCTGTGAAGAATCGACGCTACGGGAAGTATGCAGTCTGTGAAACGTCGAAAATATAAAATAAGTAACATTAATAACAAAATATATAAGCGATATAATCCGTAAAAACTAGTTTTATTTAAACATTATTGTATTTTTTTAAGTTGTTCACGTGTTGTTTTGCATTAGGTGAAAGCAGTAAATAATTGATACAAAATGATTGGTGAATGCAATGAATACATAAAGGAGGCATTCATTACATAGGTACTATAGTGTTAATTAACAGTCTGATAATAAATATATGATATTTCGATTTAACATTGCTATAAATAATACGTAAAAATATCCTTGTGTTAGCTTTATTTAGCCATATAAAATAATAAAAACATGTTGTCAATTATAGTTTATAAAAGTTGTTTTAATGTCAGCCATATTTGTAAGAAGCTCAGGAACAAAGTTAAACAAGATTATGTAAAAATATGTGGTTTGATTTTAGTGGTATTTATACGAAGTGATATTTTGTTGTAATTGGGTGCAACAGGTGAACGAAATAGAAGCCTAGGACACTGATATTTTACAAATTTTTTTACATTATCATATTATGAAATTGGTCTATTAATAAATACTACTAATTGGGTGCGCATTATTTTATTTCGATAGTTTTAATTGATTTATTTATTTAGTTTAAAAATTTTTGTTTTAATTTTTTTATTACCGAAAGTTTATTTTAAATTAACGGTATTTATTGATGGTTCAAATTTATAATATTTTAATGTAAAAGCAAAAAAAAATTGTAAAATATAAGTGCCCTCTGCATTTCGTTCACCTGTTACATCCTGTTTTTATCTAAACGGTATAAAAATTTTAGAGTTTTATTGAAGGAACCAAACGCAATGTTAAAGACGATCGTATAATTATTGGTACAAGCAAGTCTCATTTCTAAATAGTAAATGAGGTTTCATTGCTTAGTGTTCAACACCCTCCTTCAATGAAAACTTCTTGATACAGTTATAGCCAACTTAAAATTTATAAAAAGTTCCACGAGTTTTCCTAAATTTTAAAATTAATTTGTATTCAACTTTCTCCCCCGATTAAAACTTCTTAAAACAAAAATTAAACCAATATTTAGCTTAACAAACAGAAGAAAATTACATTAAATCTAGCATATCTCTAAATTTTAAAAATTAATTGTTATTTAATGCCTTTGTCAACAGTTTGGCTATTTGAGAATTCGAACTTGTGTACCATAATTTGAGCGTTATCTATTGTCTCCTTTATAAAATGACGTTATTATATTATTTCATGAAGGAAGTGGCATTTCGGAACATAAGGGTAGTTTGTTGTTTTTATTGCACACGTAGGATATTTAAAAAATTATTTAATTTAAGTAATATGCTTTAAAAATTATTTTGTAGTAATAAGTGGTTGACTTTTTAAATGGTTGAGAGGAATTCCTGAAAGCGCAGCTTATTTCAATTGATTAATCTAAAACTGTTGGGTGTTACGTGACCCCGTTAAATTGTAGAGTTGCTTACTTCATTTAATTTTGTGTTTTGACTATGTCAACAGCCATACCGTAGCCGCAGTTAAAAGTGTGAGTGCGGTACGCGTGCGGTGTTGGTAGAGGTCTAATTTAGTGAAGCCATGAACAACTAATTATATGGAGGAAAGCCATAGTCTCGTAGAGACTAGTATTGGTCGACTTGGTTCGACCTGGTAGTCGCAGTCTCTACAGTAGAACGTATCACAAGAAGGGATGACGATAACGGTAACAGTTTGTTGCTAGGCATTGCGACGTTGTTATCACTGTGTGTAATCTCATAGAAAACTAAAATGATTTCTCTGTACCTTGGCCTACGTAATGATTTTTCGGGAAAATTTAGCGGAAAGAATGGCCAAAAGAATGTGACTCTGTAATTATTGATAATTTTACAAAGTATGTTTTGTTAATCTTGTATCGATGTAACGGCGATAGTGCCGTGCAGGCTGTACAAGGAACTGTGTGTCGGCGTGTGCTCAGTGGACGGAGCCAGTTGTCCGGTCCATGTTGTCATATGGGATGACGACTGGTCGAAGGAAGGCTGCCGCGCTCTGAGCTAGCTCGTCGATTATAAATAATACCTACTTATTGAAAGTCACTCTTTTGTTTAATAACCACTGGTTCGGAAAAAACCTCTGTCCTGGGAAGAACCAGTAATTTTTTTACATAACCTTTTTTTTAAATAAGAGCTTACACAGTTTATAGATTGAGACAGTTATTATTATCATCCATAAATTCCTTAATATTATATAAATCCTTTTTATACAAACTTAGTTAAATAAATTTTTGAACTTTGAGCAGGTCAAATTTTGTATATTTTATAAGATTTTGTTGTAAAAGCGTATCCATCGCTACAAAAATGAATTACTGACTCGGTAAAATAGAGTAACTGGTCCGGTCCAAGTTATCGTAGGAGATGATGGCTGATGACTAACTAACACCGACTAAGGCGTATGTGTTAGTTTGCATAAAGTTAAACGAAATCGCCTTGCTCATGTGTGTGGGTCCAACGTCCAAAGATAGGGACAATGTACCTATTAATGTCAGGATAGATGAGCCGGCGAGTTGGTGATTAATAGTGTATGTTACAGGAATTCATGAAGATCCACGCTCGAGGACGATCGTATGTCGGGGTTGGCCGTGTCGGTGCGTCTATAAAATACCAATATAAGAGTGAATGAGAGGTTGCGCCACTCTAGCGGGGCGTTGTATCGATGGTGGCGAGGTGGAATTGAGGGTAGGTATATCGAAAAACCCCCACTCGTTTCTGCAGTATAAAGTTCACGGAAGGTGCCGTGCGCGAGAGAGTCCGTCTGCCTAAGTCTTTCTACGTAATAGTAGTGCTAGGAGAGTATCGTGGTTCCGTCCGTGATGATGGTTCTTCTGGTGGAGGCGAGGAACACGATGTTGCTGAGAGGCTGCTCTATGTTACACTAAGCTGTGTAGTGTTGCTGATGGTTTACATACTTTGGTGTTACCATGTAATTACGTCCCTCACGTTATACTGGTGCGTGTTTGTGGTGGGGACGTGTTACGGTATGCTCGAACTGTAGTTGCTCTATAATGAATATGTAGTGCGTTACGCTGTCTCATTATTAATAGTGATTAATTTTGTAAACAAGAGAGCAAGTTGAACATCCGCTCTCACACTCTTACTATTTTTAATAATTAACCTTTCCTGGTGTATTTCCGAGATCAAAAGTAGAATCTCTTTGTTGTATATCCGATATCAAAAGTATCGGTATCGGGTTAATTCGTTCAAGGTAATCTCATACTATGTAGATTGGATCAAAAATTAATATTCAAAAATTGTAGGTAGCCGGGCTAACTATGGCATCAAGACGTCAAACACCTCAGTTCCCACCATGACCAGGGATGCTGTAACTGTAAAGCACCGGAAACGTCGGGAATTAAAAAGTTCATATTAAACGCGATAAAATCCCTAAAATTAGTACCATTTAGACATGTAGTGTTCGCGTAAATATGAAAAATCATTAAAATCTAGAATTTATGCTATAAAATAATCTAAAATATAAGCTATAAAATAATCTAGAATTTATGCTATAAAATAAGTTAAAAGTGTCCATTTTATTAATGATTTTTCATAATATATAATAAAGTAGGTACACATTAAGAGAGTACAAATAATAATACAACAACAAATATCAACATAATCTTCTTTATTCACCGCAACATGAACAATTAAGTTTCTATTAAGATGTAAGGTAAGTTTTGATTAAATTTAGAATTAATTTTTCTTAATTTAATGAACAATACGCTTTGACCTTAATACCATCTTGTGATGAGTAGTCGTAAAAAATTAATAAACATAATATGTACGGAGTATAACTATTGCTCACAAGGTGGCAGATAAATACAAAATTTTATATACAAGTAGTTATTTACAAAAACCATGTAACAGCCAAACTGCCAAAAGTATTATAAGGATGGCACTTCCATAAAAAAATGTTATTATCTATGCTGCATAAAGTTATACAACTGATTATACCGATTATACCATGTGATCTAAGAGTAACTGAGAATTACGCCTGCAGAAAGTTTTATCACTCGTCACTAGATGGCGACATAACTTGTTTGATTTTTTTTTAACTTATGCCTTACGTGAATTCAAATAATCAACGTCTTGTACCCTCCCATCATTAATTGTCATGTATCTTTTCAATGAATAAAAACCTTTAGCCTAAATATATCCATGTTATTATAGTTTTCATTGAATTAACCTAATTTTATGCCTGTATTAACACCCCGGTAGAAAGCTTTTGCTATGAGGATTAAAGATTTGCTGATCACTAGATGTCACTGATACGACTGTTGCAAAGGTATTAATTTGTTATCATCAAGCATAAAGTGAAAAGTTGCATTTTAAGTTAAAGTTTACGGTTACTAGTGTATAAGTCTGTATACAAAACAATATCTAAGTCGTGTGCTCTTAAATTTTTTGCACTAAAAGTAAAAGCACACTTATATTCGTAGTTTTGTTTATCCATTTTAATTCTAATCAATATAAAATGTTACATAAATTTCAGAAAGAAACACTAACACATTTTTCCGGTTTAAATTCCCCGCCATGAAACTTGCCCGGTAGCAGAAAAGTTGTGAAAGCCCACTGTTTCGATTTTCCGAAATCCAAAATATGATCTTATTGTTTCCACTCTACTGCGGAGGGACGTGTGATGAACGTTTCAAGGTCTCATTAATAGAGTGTTGTGGTTTTAGGAGTATGGAATATGGATGTCAATCAATATAAGTGTGACTCGCATATCTCGATAAGGGTCAGTTCACACCAAGACGTGACACGACGCAACGCGGCTCGCACTTTTTAATACTCGTATAGTGGTTGGTACAAAATATAACTTTATTTACTACACAAAAAGATAAACATATTATTGAGATAATTCAAATACGCGACGTATTTACTTGAATATTCTGGACGTTTCGGTGAAAAATGTGTATTTAAAGGCGCTGCAAGACGCGGTCGGAGCAGTATTTAATTTGGCGAGACAAGCGAAGCTTCGGAGCGAAATAAAGTGAATCAGAGTGATTAATTATTAGTGTCTTTAAAGTTTTAATTAGTGTAAAGTGAATTAAAGTGTTAATTTTGGTAATTCAATCGGCAGTTTTTATTGTCACGAACCCTAAGCTCGTAACAATTGGTGTCAGAAGTGGGATAAAATCATGCCGATTTTACCTAAGGAGGAAACGGAGGGTGTCCGTTCCCGAAGTCAACGCCAGCAGGAGACGGATCAGAGAAGATTTGGTGGTGCAACGCCGCAGACGTCGGGGGGCCAACTGCTAGCCATGGAGGCTGGCCCGTCAGCAGCTCCTACACCTGCAGCACCTGACTTAGATGCTCTCATGATGATGCTACAGGGACAGGCCCGCCGACAGGAGGAACAGGCCTGCCAGCAGGCGGAACAGGCACGCCGATTTTAAGAGCAGCTGCGGGGTGGACAGGAGGAACAGATCCGTCATTTGGAAGAGCAGCTGCGGGGCGGACAAGAGGAACAGGCCCGTCGGTTGGAAGAGCAGATGCTCCTCATGAAGGACCTTCACGCTACCTTCGGGAAGGAGATAAAGGAGGTGAAGGATAGGGTAGCTCAACATGACAACCGCCTGTCGGAAGCTGAAACCCAAATCGCGAAAGCTAAAACCCAAATCGAGAAAGCTGAAACCCGAATCGACCAAGTGAACAATCGGGTTGACAACGTGATGGCTGACGTGAAGAAAACGCTGGACGACCTCAAACTGGGGGATGGAATTACAGCTCCCATAGTAGCTACAACACCTTCGCTACGTGGGTTCAAAGTGCCACCGTTCGACGGGACTTCTTCCTGGTCAGCTTACAAAATCCAGTTTGAAGCCGTTATGAAAGCGAACGGCTGGAATAAAAGTCAGGCCATGACTGCTCTCACACCGGGCCTGCGCGACCAGGCCTTAACTGTTCTGGAAGCTCTCGATGAGGAAGTGACTTATGAGCAGCTCCTTGAGGCATTAGAGGCGAGATATGGCGACGCTCACCTGGAACACGTCATTCGTGAGCAGCTTAAAGATCGCGTGCAGCGCATCAATGAAAACCATCAATGTGGAGAAGCTGGTTCGAAAAGCATACCGGTCTGTACCTGCGCTCATTGAAGGGAACCTGGTGCAGACATTCATCGACGGCATCCGCGACCTGGAAGTCAGAGCTGCTGTGAGGCTGGGCCACCACGAGACGCTTAAGGACGCCTTGGCCCATGCACTGGAGGTGGAAGCCGTGCGGCAGGATCATCGCGTCAGAAAGGTTGCAGCAGCCACAGTTCGCGACCGCAACAAAGGATACAGCCCTAGGTGCTATGGCTGTGTGGAAAAGGGCTATCTTCGATGCAGCTGCCCTAAGCGAACTGTAGAAAGGGAAGTTGATCGAGCTCGAGAGGGTAGTGCAGCTAACGGCACCGCCTGGCGGTGGCAGGATAATCGTTCCCCTCACGCTAGGGAGTTTGCAGCAGTAACGGTTCGCGACCACAAGAAAGGATGCAGTCCTAGGTGCTATGGCTGTGGGGAAAGGGGCCATCTTCGATCCAGCTGTCCTAAGCGAACCCTAGAAAGGGAAGGTGAACGATCTCAGAAGGGAAGTGCGGCAAACATCACCGCCCAGCAGCAGCAGGAATACGACTTTACTATCAGACATCGCAGCGGGAAATCTCATGGTAACGCAGATGCATTGTCAAGAAGACCTTGTCCTGAAGATTGCAAACATTGTACTAGGCAAGAGAGTAAGGAAGTGGTATCCGTGAGGATGCTCAGGACAGACCACCTCAGCAACGAGTGGAAGGACAGCCTACGACATGCACAGCAGGAAGATCCGGACATCAAGCCGATTCTAGAATGGATGAAGGCCCGTGCTACCAAGCCTAAGTGGAGCGACGTCTCAGCGATGAGTTCGACCATTAGAAGCTATTGGGCCCAATGGGACAGCTTGCTGATTCAGTATGAAGTCCCGTGCCGTAAATGGTACAATGGTCAAGGAGACAGCTGTCGTTTGCAAATGGTTGTCCCTAAAGCTAAAGTACCGAATGTTCTACAGCTGCACCATAATGGTTGTTCAGGAGTCCATTTGGGAGTTAAACGAACTCTATAGAAGATCCAAGAACAGTTTTACTGGGTCCATTATCGTGACGATGTCGAGGATTGGTGTCACACATGTACAAGTTGTGCGGCTGTGAGGGGACCTCAGACACGTAGTAGAGGAGCATCGAAATTGTACAATGTTGGTGCACCATGGGATAAGACAGCCCCTGACATTGCGGAGCCGTTACAGAAAGGCGCAAGAGGGACTCCTAAGATCGTCCATGTGGATCGCCTGGCGCGTTATTATGGGGCCGATAATGCTCGGGACGAGCATGTCTTAGGAGGGGGCAGTGTTGCGCGCCTAAGTTGACGTCATGTACCCGGCACTAGCGCCATCTAGTGTCGGGGACGAGAGTGAGGAGGGCTTCCTAGAAAATGTCAATCTTGACTTTCGACCAATAGCGCCATCTAATATCGAATTGAAGAACTAAGCTTTCTAGAAGCCCTACACTCGAACTTTCTGCGCCTGGTCGGTTGGTGCGCGTATTTACTTGAATATTCTGGACGTTTCGGTGAAAAATGTGTATTTAAAGGCGCTGCAAGAAGCGGTCGGGGCAGTATTTAATTTGGCGTGACAAGCGAAGCTTCGGAGCGAAATAAAGTGAATCAGTGTGATTAATTATTAGTGTCTTTTAAGTTTTAATTAGTGTAAAGTGAATTAAAGTGTTAATTTTGGTAATTCAATCGGCAGTTTTTATTGTTACGAACCCTAAGCTCGTAACAATAGTGATATATTACATTTTTCCTATATTTAAGGTAAGCATCATAAATAATATCGACAGTATATAGGCAACACATCGGAGTGAATTATAGGTGTCACACACTTACGGTACGTATGATTCCGACATATGACCCAATGTCCCTGGATTGAGGAGTGTTTAAAAGTTTTGTTGTTTGACGACGAGGGATATTGTATGGTACATTTAGGGAGAAATATTGTAGTAGTTCACAGCCGGCTGTACGTCCGTTTACTATTTTTATAATACCAGCAGGTTATGTAATGCAACTGTACACTAGTGAAAGTGTAACAGTACTTTTTTACGTGAGCGTAGCAAGAGCAGAGAGCAGTTGCGGGGCTGACAACTTCTTGATTAATTTGTTTTAATAAAGTATATAAAATAGGGATCTGACCAAATCTTCGATACTCGTAGCTCTGTGCTCGGAACCAACAACTACGTATTACTGGTACACAACTTCGATGCGTTTTGGAAGATTTTAAAATATGGAAAATATTTTCTCAAAAAATCAAACAAATACTTTAACTGTCTTATTAATAAAAATTGCTTATTCCAAGGTTAATTCAAAGTTACACTTAGACTAGCTAATCCCAGAGTAACTGACTACTTACTTCTTTATTACTATGTTATTAATAAACATGTAGTAACCTCGGACTAACTATACATTCCTTACGCCGGGATTAACGCTTGCGCTATGGCAACCCACTTATTTTAAAAGTAAAAAGAGTGAGTCAGTGAATGATTAGTGAATGAACTCAATGCTTGATGATGACATTAATGACAGTGACAGGCAATATTTTGAGTTTGACAAGAGATAAGTGTTACGTGTTGTTCCTTGTTCCTCGTGTTGTTTTCGGACTCGGTGGAAAAACTAAGTTCTAAATATAATCATTTTTAATATAATTTGTACCGAAATTTTAGAATTAAGAAAAGAGCGTGAAGGGCAACATTAATTGAATAACCATTTTTGTTTTGTTTTTTGGGGATAAATAAAATCTTTTGTACATGTAATTATAGTATATTTATTTTTAAAAAAATCGTTAATAAATGCTGCCCGAACAGAATTTCCTCTAACGGAGTTATTTACTAATTGTATGACTGGTACATTTTCATCATCTCCTTATACTACATCCTCAAGCAGATCTTGCGTTTGCATTGCAATGTGTATAGTTTTGTATGCTCTTATTTAGTATTTAGTCCTCGCAGTAAACACCGAAACCTTTACTTCCCTTCAAAGCATTATTCTACAGTGTTACGGGCCCAGAAGTGCGACCGGTTGTATATTTCTTCCTTTTGTTTATTAGGACGTAAGATAGGAGTGAATAAATAAGGCGTACAAGCATAACCAGAATCTCTGAGAAGTCTGCCTTTAAATTCTGACTGCTCAAACGTTTTAATGCGACTTTCATTAAATATTCTCGAGTCATGTGTGCTGCCTTACCAATGTGCCACTATATTCATGAACTCTAAATTTGCATTTGACACAACCTGGAACAAATCACTCATAGCTTCTTTAATATGAAATAATAGATTGAGGTGATTGTATTAAATCTAAGAAAATAACTAAGTACCTATATGGCAAAGATGGGCTAGCTAGGTGCTATAAAACTTACTTGTACATTTATTGAACTGTATTCTTTCCTGTTTATGTAGTATTGTCCGATGTTTCCAGCGACTTTCGAGATTAGAATATGTGGCAATCAATTGCCCCAATCACTTGTCTAAATCCACATAATAAATAAAAACCTGCAATCACTTTGTTTTGCTCCACATCACTTCTTGACATTTTAATCCATTATGCTGTTTTTGTTACTAGTGCTTACAACTTATGAATTTAACAAATTAAAGTCTTACAAAATGCCAAAATACGCGACTAGTCTATGCTTACTCAGTCGTTAAACTAGGTACCGCCAAGGATTAACTTTTATTCCGAGAGTAGATTCGGATTAGTTTACTCCCTCCTTACTCTATGTTTATTAATACTGAAATTAGATATTTTAAGCTTTAAACTAGGAGTAAAGTTAATCTCGATCAAGTCTGTGTTTATTAATAGGGCTCTAAGTGTATGTTTGCATTGCTTTGTATTTTTAAACGACTACAAAAAGTGGGGGAGGTTATCAGTTTAACTAAATATGCCTCTTACAATATATACTTACTTATAACACGATATTTTCAAGCCTAGTTTCCCATAGATTTTTGATTTTTTTTATAAATTTCGACAACGTTCCCTCATAATTTTCAACCAGATCTTGATAATAATTAAACTCGGGTTTGATCCCGGTCGGCACCAGACGGAAAGACTTAGTTAGTTATAACTTTATTCACTTTGTTTTATTATATTAACAAGATAAGCCTTTGGACAACAACTGTCAAAGGGTACAACCATAAGGATTATCTATATCCAGTAAAGATCCGGGACGGAATTCTGTTAAGACCCGGTGGCCGCAGGTTGCCAGTAAAGACCGCCAAACACATGTGTGTAAGTTTGAGTCCGCTATTTCTCCACTGTGGCGTACTGCCTTTAACTTTAGTACTTCTTGTGAATAACGGGATTATTATGAAAGTGGAGAGTGCTAATAGTGTTTTTTTTTTTTTTAAATAACTCGCAAACACCACTTGTATCGACACGTGACCGGAGCGGGCTCACGCGGCCACAGCTTCCCAAAGTTTACAAACACGGCAGCACGCTCTCGACACCGCAGATAAGCTAACGAAACTAACTGCGTTCACTCCGCAGTCGACCATTTGAAGTGAACAGTGGCGCAAAGTTCAACGAACTGATCTCAGGTATGCTTGAATTATTTTATTTATTAACTTTATATAACCATTTTGCTTGCCTCATCATACATAGTTAGGGCTTGCAGAACCGGATCCGGTTTCTAACTTTTTGAAATTGGAATAGAGATTCCCGGTTCTTAGTATATTTGTTAAAGTTGTTATTTTATTTGTAGTTTTAAATAGTTATTCTTGGCAACCTGTTTGCCAGTCATTTACTCGTAGTGTGTATCTACAAAATCTTTTCAACACTTCCGCTTAAACTTAAAATTAAAAAAACTAATGAAATAATTATCACAGTTTTAAAAGCATTAAATATGTTTTTTAGGAGTCACGCTGCAGCTATATAATTAGCATAGTTGTAGAACAAATGGGTCAGTTCGACCGTTGAAGAACCACGCTCTCATTCTATAAGCTACTAGCGAAAATAGTAACTGCTGCTGTTTCGTATGGCGAGTGTAGATATCTCGGATCGGCTACCCTTTTTACTGCAAACGAGGCGATAAATCTTTCTCCTCACGGGTGACAACGCATCTGCATTTTGATTCGTAATCGAGGATAAATGTAGATGTCTATGGATCCACAGCAACCACTTACCATCAGGTTGACTGTGTGCTCGTTTGTAACCCTTATCCTATTAAAGAAATGTATCAGGAACCGTAACCATGTAGTAGCGGGATAAGTATATCCACTATCACTCATCATCTCGTGGTTGTCGCAAGAGCCGACAGAGAGAAACAAATCAATATGTGAGCAGCAGCCCCTTCCTCCTGCTGACCTCTATCTACCTGCTAGGCCCAGCAAATATGGCCAATACTTACTAATAAATTAAATTATTGAACATCTCCCAATCATAAGACAATCTATGGGGGATGTCGTTGTTCTTTAGTGGACTTTTGGTGATGAAAATGATGAAAGATCGAGAGGGAGAGATTCAAATAATTAGCTTGCTTGACAACCGCAGATTTTATGTTTGAGCTGTTATTAGGCGGCTGCTGCTCATCTCCAGATTTGTTTCCCTCTGTCGCCTCTCACGACTCCCACGGGACGACATGTGCTAGTGGATTATAATTATTCTTACAACAACCGACAATAAATATTTTAATGACGTAAGATATACAGTAACATGCATTTGATAACATAATTATAAAAATACCTTATCTTATAATGAAACGGTCAACTTAGCTCAGTGCAAAGCAACAATAACATCTGATTGTACTTATCAAATTACAGATAACGCGGTCCGAAAACAAAACAACATGAGAGCAAATCGCGTCCTGCACAAATTAACTATTATATCAATTCTTTACGTAACGCTGATCTGCAGAGCCAAGATCATGAGGAACAACGCGCTGATGAACAAGATGATGTCGCAGTTCCATAAGGACAACAGCAACAATCTCTCAATGGAACCAGCGATGGTGCAACAAACGCAGCCAAAAAACGTCATAACATTAATGCAGGATGTTCTCTGCAGGAATTTCCCTACTATACCTTGTACTGTCATAATGCAAGACGAGACGTTGAGAAGGTTAATTCAGAAGTCCATACAGCAAATCAACAATAGAAAGCTTTCGATGGAGAGAACGACGCAAGCACATGTGTACAAAACGAATTTTCCTATTGTAAACAGTGAGGATCTGTCGAATTTTCTCGAAGTCCAAAATACAGGGTACTTCGACAACAGAGAACACAAGCATGAGACGAAAAAACACAAACAAGTAAATGTAGACAAAGTAAAATGGTCGCAAGAGAATTTGAAAAGCGCGAAGAAACTAAAGAACATACAGCGAACTTCAATGTACGGAAGGAAGAAGCTGCGAAAATTCTACCCACATAAAGTAAAATACAAAGACAAGAAAGCAAAAAATAAACCAGAGTACAAAGATTACTCAGATGAAAAACTGTCCATGTCCGTAGAGATTCCTGACATGACGTTGACGAAGAAACACCAACACTATTCGTACAAAATGGAGCCAGCCGATCCACCAGTTTGGAGGATAGACTATACGAAACACGGGGATCCGAGTTACAATATACTGGGATCCATAACAAAAACTGGGTCGAATAGGGTCGTTGACGACAAAGAGTTGGAGAAATCAGCGAGGAAAGACGTCATGCACCCAGACGTGTATATTAAAACGAACTTTATTAGAAAGAACTCGGAGTTGATAGATTGAGTTTAGTTAGTGTTTTAACTTAAAAGAAGGTGAAGTGTTTTACCAACACTATTGTACACATATAAAAAAAAATTGTAACATTTTGTCACGGTCTATTTTTTTTCTTTGGTATGGTTTCGTAGAATTATACATTTGCCGGTGTCAATTAATAAAAAATTATCAAATATTAATTATTATGTTAACTTTTTATTTATATTAATTATTATATTAACTTTTTATATGGGATATTCAACAACCCGTCAGTCGACAGTCGACAGTCGTGCATTGGTGTAGTCAAAATTAATAGTTTTATTTATTCTTATTGAAAAATCAAACAGTTACTTCTAAAATTCTAGTCAATGAATCAACGAGCTTATGGTAAGAACGTATAATAAAAAAATATTATTCAAATTCGTAAGAAACGAGACGAAGAACTGAAATTCAAACCCTAAGGGCTCTTATATAATAAGACATTTTATACACGCTATATATATATATATAGTAAGACATCGTATACACGCTAAGAAATTTCAACTTGTCTGCGGCAGATAAGACGATAATGTCATGTCAATCATGTATACGACAAGAATTTTGTCGGATCTAGCCTCGAAAATTTGTCTTGTCTGCTTCAAACAAAATAAATAGAGACTATATAATATAGCTTGCTTATATATACTAAGAGGTGAGAGGGTCGGTAAGTGGAAGCTGTGGCCCATAGACATCTACATTTATCCTTGATTATGAATCAAAATGCAGTAGCGTTTTGTTTCTCAATCAAGGACCTGAGGACTAAGATGGGATGCCTCGTTTTCATTAAAAAGAGTCTCTGGTTCTCTACACTCACCACACGAAGCACAACAGCCTAACGCTGTTGTTTTACGCTGGTATTCTATAAGAGGTTCTACCCCGATCGAGCTGATCCATTTGTGCTACAACTAATATAGCTGCAGCCTCGCCCTACTACGTATACACAATACAACAAATCGTCCCGCTGTAAGTGGAAGATACATGTCCAGCCGTGGGCCGGGAAGAGGAGGGTAAGAAACTAAGTAAGTAAATCGACGACTTTTGACACGAGAGTGAGCGGCATAGATATTCATTATCAACCGATCACACGAGCGAGTCGCAAGACGACCCCCTCTCTAGATCAAGACCGGATGAACAGCTACTTGTTTAGCGAGTTTCACATCTTAGTAAAAATTTAATGGCTTCTTTTCGCAGTGGCTTAGCAATGAGATACAGCACTGAGGGCCACAGAATCATAATTCAAATCCCGCACGCAATAAGTATTTGTATGAACCATACATAATTGTTCCGTGTCTGGATGTTTATCCTTGTGAAATTTATGTATGTAAACTTGTACGCCAAAAAGGTTATACGCCCATGGTACAGGAGAATATCTTAGTGTGGATGTAATGTTTTTGTTTTTAAAAAAGAAGGAATTACAGCAGCATTAAGCCGCCAGTCTAGCGGTAGTCTGTGAGATGATCCCGATTTCTATAAGGCATGATTTAATTAAAAATAAATGTTGTAAAATTTCTAAACACAAAAAAATAATAAAATAATATTATTACTACTAGGTAGAAAAGAAAACAATCAAATACCATCTTGCCAACAACCATCAGCCAGCGTTATCTCTATCTCGTGCGCGACTTAGCTACGTTCACGCCATTGGCTCCGCACGATGATTATCGAAACCTCGACAGAATTGTAAAGCGGAGGATACACGCATGCAGTAATTACTTAAGATAATAATTAGTCGCAAGCTAATTACAAAGTCATAGGTATTGGTTTTATTAAATAAATACTAATTACAAATGGATTCATCTTTATATATTATAATTATGACGACTATAACAATAGCAGTTTGAAAGTAAAAGAGCTACCTATTGAAATATATTACGATGTGCAAAACACTTTTATAACGATCGTAATCGAATCTATTTTGAAACTTTACTAAACATCTAATGATACTTAACCGTGAATTTGATAAATAGGTAGAAAGGACGTTATTTAGCCCCCTTAACGGTGTCACATACAGGACACGTAAAGTTAGTAAAGCAAACTATCTCATTTCTCAGAGGGTTTTAGGTTAAGGAAAATACCGTTATTATTTGTACTATTAATTATTGTTTATCATAATGTATTCTATTCATATTTAATTACGTAGTAACATTATTTAATCTGTGACACAGGTGCCGGTATTATTACTCAAAAGTAAATCATATCGAAGTAAAAAGTTACATAATATCTACTACTTTGGTATGAATGATAGCAAAAATAAAAAAAGAAACAAATGATAAGGTTCGAAGAATACTATAACATCCTTCTACGTTTAGCCCGAATGATCCACCGCCACATGAGCTACTCTCATTATAAAAAGGATTTATATTTAGAATTATATTAACATCAAAAGGGCACTAAATAGTGTCTCTATTCGTGTATATCGCGGATTAAATATATTGTGTATGGAGTGTGGGAGTAAGGAGTACAGACTGTATATTTAAGTGTCCATAAAAACCTTTAAATAAGGTGGCGCCACTATATAGCTACGGGGTAAATTTTAAAGAACGCACCGAAAAATATTAGTGGGGTAGACGACTTTTTCGAGGTTATATTTACTAAATAAAATTATTTTAGATTTCAGAGCTACTGAGCAGTTTAGCAGCACATTTCATACCGTCATTCATAAGTTCATTTCATCCCAGTAGCTACTCCAGCGCTGTTGTGGAGAGTTTTTGAACTGTTATTTACTGCTTACAGATGACCACTTTTTCAACTATTCTACCTTGGGAGTTGGTACTCCTTACTTTTACACTCCATAATATTGTGGCTTAAGGTTACTAATGTAGAAGACAATGACATATAGACTGAGAGATCATAAAGTTTTCCTTGTTGTCAAACTGGCAATGAGATTGAGGATAAAAAAGCTAAATTTAAATACTTAATTTATATATAATATTATAAATCACCAGTGTGACCGCCCCTTAACTATTATCTGCATACTATTTGACCTCGTTTTTATTAAACAGAGAAGAGTTCTCAGTTATTTCTCGGCCGACACGTAAACAATGTCACGGCCCATCCTCTCCACACACGTGCTGGACACGTCCACCGGGTCGCCTGCAGCGGGACTCTTTGTAGAATTACTCAAGAAGAGAGACGACACGTGGACGCTATGGCATAACACAGTGACATCTGGCGATGGGAGGATACAGTTTCCGTTCTCGAAGGAGTCCATGGCTCCAGGGACTTACAAGCTGAAGTTTAATGTCGAAGACTATTACAAAAAGACTGGCAAAACTACGTTATATCCTTACGTTGAGGTGAGCTAACGATATAATCTGTGTTGTGATTTTCAACCGACTTCAAAAAAGGAGGAGGTTCTCAATTCGACTGTTTTTTTTAAATGTATATTACCTCAGAATCTTTATCTAGGATCTAGGTGAACCAATTTTGATGATTCTTTTTTATTATGTGTTTTTATGTGGTCCCACATAATATTTGATCAAAATCTCACCAGTATTTTTTGAGTTATCCTTATTGACTTCGACTACATTGATGATGTTCTCATTTTATTTACAATGAAGTCGGTTGTAAAAAAAATTTTACCACTTCTATAGATACTATTGTTGCCGATACCGTCGATGAGAGATTAATTACTGTTGATATTAGTATCAACAATAGTTAATATTAATAGACTTAGGTCTATGGTCGATATAAAGTACTCTTGTGGTATCAATAGTTGGTATCGATTTTAATATTTTAATGTACCTAATTATAATATTCAAAGGTTATGTTAGGTTAGGAATTCATCATTATTATTGTACAAACAGTTTGGACGGTATCGAGAATATTACTTAAATACGTAGTATATAACTACTTCCATGTATAAGAACCTGGTAACTTATGTTTTAACACTATTGAGAATCTATAACTACATACCTAGTTGATTTTTTGCAACATAACCTTTGACTATAATTTATTGAAACTCAAACGTAGGTAACGTCTAAAATTAAATATCTAAACCATTACAAATTATTCCACAGATAGTATTCAACACGACGGAGGGGGGACACTACCACATCCCGCTGTTGCTCAGTCCTTACGGCTACACCACCTACAGGGGAAGCTGAGCAGAGCAGAGCAGAACCTTGCGTCTTTTTGTTATAAAAATAAACTCGACTGTTCTAACCTGTTTACATTCTTTTTTTACATAAGACAGTGTCGTCTCTTTTATCATCAAGCCAGTCAATGTACTTACTTCGATAACTGAGTGGCAAATTAGTTATTCATCCTTTATTATAATCACCTTCAACTAATGGCTACAAAAGGTATGTACTTCAAAATAAACATATAAATCATGTGAACTCTACTTACCTTACTTTGAACTGGCTGTAGTTTTCTTCAAACTAGTAGTACTCGCTTAAGTAATATAATTAGGTATTTATTGATAGATCAATTTTAAATTTGGCAATGAAAAAATAAATTCGAAACATATCTATCTGTAAATAATACACTTTCCTTAGACCATACATAAGCAATTTACTGTCGCATATCACCCCGTGGATGTCGTAAAAGACGAAAGAGCGAAGCTGAAATAGGAGATTGTGAGTAAACTTTTCCTGATAAGAAATCAAAATAACAAAACTGCGGTTGTAAACCGTGCCATCTACAGCAAATAATGATTAATAATGTCGTCCAGACAGAATTTCGGTACACGGCGGCCAGTCTCCGTTCTACTCATCTCCGTAGGACAGAATTATAGCGGCAGAGTGTATGCAACAATGCACCCTCTATTTCCTCAGACTTATAGTCCGGTGGGACGGCCTACCGACCAGATAGAGATCAGACGCAGGACCATCGGCTTTATGTGCTATGTCGTTAAGGAGTATGTTAGGGCTGAATCTGAGTGACAGGGTGAGAAATTTTGTGATAAGAGAAGAGTGTGGTTTGCAAGATGATGTTGTGACCAGGATTAAGAAAGGAATGCTTCAGTGGTTTGGTCATGGAAAGGATGA